CGATAGGCGAGCTACCACCCTCTACTGAAGAACGAGTAAGGTGTCTGCTATGTTCTCTTCTTCATCACCCCTTACGCCGGTTTCAATATCCCCGGCTTCACCTTCTTCCTTGGATGTCCAAGCTACATCTGCAAAAAGTTCCTCCTCAGTCTCATCAGAGTCGGCAACTTGTTTCCCTTTGCCAGAAGATTTAGTTGGAAATGTGTCGGCGGCGGGTGCTGCTGCTTTCTTTTTCTCTGCTTCCAGCTCCGAGATCCTTTTCTTATTGGTAGGTGCATTAGCAACTATGAGCCATTTGCAACATAAAAATGTTATCTACAACTGAGGCTCTGCAACCAGAAGGCTGAACTTGGCGTTAGTGCAACCGGTAATGCTCCAGAACCATGCACGAGCACCATCAATGTGACCTCCATGAATCTTCAATCTCCTATTTGGGTTCCCGACGTACAGTTGGTCGTAACCAAACTGACGAGCGAACCTACAAGGAAAGTAGGGCTCAATGCTGCATGTGTTCTTCACCGGAAAACCAGATAGCCGGGGTGAATGTTCATTAACCAATGGAAGCATCCCACATCTAAAATAGTTCTGTTCTTCCTGGGCTCTTCCTCATCGATAAGCAGCTCGTTATAATTGCTGGAGAATTGAGGAAAAGACTTGAAATATTCCCAGCACTTGTGAGTTCTGAACTGCCTCGTCACCTCATGCTATTGCCTAGCCTCCCATTTACACTCCTCCAAAATTTATAGTAGAGGGAGGTCCGGATTTGCAACCCCGGGCGTCGTCATCAGGTCAGGGCAGTGGAGGGCGAGCTAGGCTTGCTTCCTTCTTGCGTGAAAGTGGTGGCCAAGTATTACAGCCTGTTGTGGATGTCAGCAATCATTGCGGGAAGTAAAGAAAGCTTGCGCCCAACCGCTAAGTCAACGGCCGGGAACAAGACTTCGATAGGCAATGCTTCAGAGACTTGATGCGGCACCACACACTTCTTTAACCATATAGCTAAATACCCCGCCAAAAGGGTTGCTGACTTTATCCTCCTCTAAGCATGTCATAAGGTCTCAAACTTTGTACACCTTGGAAATTTGCCTTTTGCTGAGGGAGTGGTGTAAGATTGAGTCTGAATCTTCACTATTAGCTTGTTGATATCAGAAGGGGTTAAAAGGGGCAACTCACAGACTTCGTTGCTAGAAGAATCCTCAAGATTCTTAAAGAGATAGTCAACGAATTGTTTTAAGCTGACTTGAGGGAATTTCTTTGCTTTTACATCAATATCCGCCGTGGCAGTCTGGTAGTGGCAAGTCAGCTCCCACAGGATGTCATATGTAGCTGAGCCTACCTCTTTCATCTGATTTAACTAGCAGGTGGTGGGAAAATACTCTTAATACGACACCCCCCCATTGGTAATCCAGATATCTTCATCATCTCATGAAGATGAAGGCCTAACTCTTCATTCTTGATGAGAAAGGTATTCGTATCCGGATTATAAATCTCGAACAAGGCAAGAAGTGATTTACACTTGTGGGGAGGTCATACATACTGGCTCGGATGGGGGCGTACAATCCTTTATCACTTAGTTCCTTGCCTTAATGTCCGAGCACATAATTTGGTCCACCACTTATCAGCAGAAGAGTGGACCCAACCATAGCACCTGTACTTCTTAATGGGCAGCTCCCTACCCAACCGAGCGAGGCGATTTTTCATGGTATCCGCCTTTATCATCAACTCATTCTGTGACACGCTATCCTGGCCCAACACCATAGGATGAAGTCCGTGAATAGAGGCCCGATCACTAGATCTAGGAGTCTTACTCTTATTGATTTATCCACAATGTACTCGCTCTTGGTCCTCAGTAAAACGCCACGATATCTCCCTTGTCACTGCTAATTTTCCTAGTTGTACCAATGAATAATGGTGAGGAATCGGAGGAAGGAATCTGAAGGCCCCGACGTACTCATTTAACCAATGTTCTGAGCCACAAACAAGAACGTCGGAATTCTTAACGGAGTCACCAAATATATAACGGGGTTTCCTTAATGGCTGAGTTGATTCTTTATCCTTTGTAAGTGGTGCATCTGTGATCAGTCGCCGCAGTGTACGACGACTCCCCTTTTCGCACAAGCTCAGGGATATCCTTCGGCCTATTTATATCAAACTGAGGGACCTCATCAGAAGAAGCATATGCTGTGCCCTTTTGACCACTCACCTCACGGGGAGAAAACGCCGTAGGCGGGAAGTTAACTGTAACGTACAAAAGAGTATGTGTTAAAAACGGTTAAAGAAAATTCTTAATTACATAATTAAGCGAAAAAGATAGTTATACTGATCTTGCAAACTTGTGAGACAGTGGCAACTGTCTTTCAGTTTGCGAGACAGTGGAAACTATCTCGCACATGTGAGACAGTGAACAATGTCCCATGAACTGCACGACAGTATACCCTGTTTTACGGACTGCAAGATAGCGTGAAACTATTTTTTTCTTTAGGATGTGTTTTGGCAAAGCAAACCACTCCAATTAAACGTTGATCCTCGCAAAGGAGGATATTGGCTCTTCCCGAATGCCTCGCGAAGGAGAACAAATGAGAAAATTCTGATTTTTCAAACCAATTAAATCTCAGAATCTCACCCCTAAAGAAGGGAACAGTAGCCTCCTCTGTCTCAGATGATCGGGCAACAGATTTACCCTTGGAAACAACGGATCTCTTCGGAGACATGATCAAAATGAGGGTTTCGGCCGAAAATATGATGAAGAAAAGCTAGGGTTTTGGGGGAAGTTCAAAACAAGGCTTGGAGGAAACAAAATCAAAGCCCTAGGTTCGGTTTTGGTTGGAGATCAAAATAAAATAGGGTTTTGATGAGAAGAAACGAAGGAAAGGGATCGGTTCTTCAAAGAGGTCTTCGAAACCGTAGATCAAAATCAATCAGGATTGAAAGAGCAAAGAGAGTTTAAAGGAAAAAAAGAGGGTTTGAAAAACTATTTTTATGAAGAATTGCAGAGGATTTGAACTGAAAAAAGCGGGCGAAGATAGCCAAAAAGAACCGCAAACCTCGAACTTAAGCAATTCAACCCGACGACGAAGCTTTGAGCGAGACAGTTGCACTTGTTGCGCACAAACAGGACGGTTTCTACTGTTTCACAAACACGAGACTATTCCTGCTATCTCGCACACACAGGTCCTTTCTCCAGTGTTGTTTTCAACGCGTCTTCAGATCATCGCCAGCACGCCTATAACATTCCTACCAACACATACACAATATATTCGGGGTAATTTCATTCCAGATTTGCCCTTGGAAGTCAAGTATACTCAGGGTAGTTTTATTCCAAAATTACCCCTGTGAATTCAACTGTAATTCAACCGCAAAACTCATGACAAAGATGATTAGTTCTACGTCAACTCAACAACATGAACAAATCCAACAGTTCAAAATACCAACAATTCAACTATAGTTTCTGATTTCGACATACGGTCAACGACGTCGCATTACCGGAAGTCAAGAAACTGAAGCAACTTATGGGCCTATTTGACTCCATACTCAAGTGAGGAAGCCCACTAATGTGCATGAGCAGTTACACCTTGGAAACACGCCCACTACCCTAGAAAAGTGCGCTAATTAACACACTTTAAGGTAGTGGGGGAGCAGTTATAAAATCTCTGCCACTGTCCCCTTTGGCCGAGACAGTGGAAACTGTCTCGCAAGCATAAGACAGTTTCTAGGGTTCTGTTTGCATAATTTTTGGCGGTTATGGTCTCCTACCCCTATAACTACCCTTCTACACACTAGTGCAAAAAACAAAGCTAGCATTTGGCGAATTTTGAGAGCAAGAGAGAGTTGTTAACCCATTCGCGAGTATTCTCGAAGTCTTTTGGTATTTCCTTGAGTTTAAGCATTGACTTAATCTTTAAAAGAGTATTTGTCTTACTTTGCTAAGATACTTTGGTTCTTATTTCATTGTTGAAATATTAACCCCAAGCCTTCTTCGTCTCCGACATGGAAACGTCGCTCAGTGGTCCACGGATAACGCATCCCCGGCATAGGCAAAGAATCCCATGCAAGCAGAAACTACTATGTAGGAGTTTCTGTACGTATTACTAGGGAGTGAAATTTTGTTTTCTTTGTGAGGAAGAGAGTTACACTTGTAAAGCTTATTCTTTTGTTTCTTTTAAACGATTTAATGGAAACCGCAAAGGAAATTGTTCCCGAAGCAAACAAAAGAGTATTATTTCCTCTAAATTTTCTTCCTTGTATCCAGATTTGCATATTGTGAGAATAGTTTGAACATTTAAATTATATGGTTTAATGTCCATTATTAGTTCATTCAACCATCTAAGTGATAATTTAATGTTTACAGCATATAGAGAATTTGCAACTCCTATACAAGCAGTATACAGATAGTCGGCAAGCCACTGAATATGTAAACCCATCACACTAACAGGTTTTAATTGCCTGTTGACCAAACCAAATTAATCTCCTAAAATTAGTCTCCTAACTATTTGTCAAATCTACAAATCGAAAATAGAAAGTAGAACCAGATCTTGAGACATGGAGAGCTGAAGGTATTTGGTAATGCTTGGTATGTAAAGACCTCTTGATATCTATATTATGATGCTTTCGGAACATCTCTATCCTATATTCTCCAGAAAGAAGCGTTTAAGCCTGAACTTACTCAATGAAAGGAAAATACTAAACTTGCATACTGAAAAATATCTAGTTTTTACCACTTATTACACAAGAAATTTCAATCACGTTGGGGTATTGGGCAATCTATATTTCTTTTGAACCCCAAATCCAAGTCTCAGAGAACTATCAAAATAGGATCTCTTTGTAGTGTGAGTACTTCTCTTATCTAATTGAAAAATTGATAGAATTTAGGCCCAAGTCCTCCCGCAAGAATTCTAGCTCTTTTTTGTGATAGACATGATATATGTTAAACATATGTTCTTGAGAATTTGATTGTGTTATTTTTAGTGTAAACTCATTATGAATTATGGTATGCTGTGATGCAGGAAGTAATAAAGGAGGACGATGAGAAATTGCAGGCACTGAAAAATGAATTGGGTGACGGCGTCTACGGGGCTGTGACTACAGCCTTGCTGGAGATGAATGAATATAATCCTAGTGGCAGATATACTATATCTGAACTTTGGAATTTTAAAGAAAGCCGCAGAGCAACATTGAAAGAGGGCATAGCACATGTAATGAGACAGTTGAAAACTCTCAAGCGTAAGCGGTGAGTGCATAAAAAAACGGTTTATAATGTGCCTTGTTTTGTCTAATGGATGAACCATTTGTTTTCCTACTTCAAAACTCTAGGATGCCAATGGAGGATTTGCATAGAAGCTTTATATGAGAGATACAATGATTGCTTTATGATCTTATTCTTTCAATATTATTATGGTTTCTGCTAACAAAATAAACTTGATAGAATTTTTTTTATACCTCACGTTCTCTTTTAAATAGCTTTTTGGACTTCAAATATTTGTTTCCTTCCTCGATATGTCCTTCCCTTGCTCCTTTTCCTTTGTGGGTCCTAGTTTTCCCCGAGCACCGAACTTTTCCTGTACTGTATCAGCTTGTGGCATCTTTATGAATTGTCGTATGAAAAACAAGTCTACACCTTAATTCTTTATAACAACATACCAGATTCTGAAATTATTGGATGCACTTGGCCATTTAAGATTATTGCGTTCTACCGGACCAAAACCTGGTTACTTTGCCGTTGTCAAAATAGGCTATAGAAGTTTAGGGATGAGGGGATACACCCTCTCTGATGTGTGAGATAGTCAATACAAATGCTTTTTAAACAAAGACTGTAACCCGATCTTGAACCCCATGCTTTCCATAATTAACCCGCTGCTTAACCACCAAGTCATGCCCACAAGCAGCATGATTTGGTAAGAGCCTCTTTGATATGTAATGATGGGAAGCTGGAACTTTTACATTTGTGACTGTTTATTCTCGTACGCCTCTCTGAATACCTTACACAAATTACCAGTAAAAATTTAATTGTTTCAATATGAGCGCAGAAGTAACGCCTATCAAATTACGGGTTTAGGGATGTAAATAACCTTCACTAATCGTGCACTTCAGAACTTCCCGTCGTCATTTTGTTTTAGGCTTTACCTCGAATTTATATATTAAGTTATATTCTCAGATTGCTATATAATTAGCTTTTTTGCCACTGCTTTTTAACATGGCTTTTATCTTCCACTCTCTGATGGCAGTACTTAAAAGACAGGGTTGCTGAGAAAAGTTCATTGCTTGATGTGGAAAAATTCTGGAGGAAGCTGGTACTATACTGTTCGTGCACTGTCAAATATGCTAACCATGTAGACTTCCATTTGGCCGAATTTGAGATATTCTCTGGTTTACCGATTAACATAGTAAAATTCACATACATTATTACTAAATGAAGCAAGCAGAAACGTAGACTAATTTTTGCTGGCCAATCAGTGTGAGCTTTTTCTTCGTGCTTCTTGTTATGCTGGTTATTTTACTGAGAGGAATCTTATTGCAACTTATGTAGTTTTGCTTAAGAATCGCAGATTAATGTCGAGTTCAATGATATCGAAATCTATTTGGTTGTATACCAGTATGTACTGGAAGTTACCGCCCTCCTTTGACGTTTTCGTGTTTCTGAGAAATAGTATGGGAATGTTTTGAGTACTGGTTTATTAGGATTCTGTCCAGAACTTGAGAACTAATTTAGAAGAAATTGTCACAATGTATTGGATGTGTATATTCTTCTATTAACTATTTGTTTCTGTTTGTCTTTGATTCTTGAAGTATGAAGGGTGTATAGTTCAATCTAGAGTTTAATCCTTTTAACAATGCAAATGTGATTGAGCTCTCTTTCTTTGCATTCAGTTAAAATTTGGATCGCAAAAAGATGAAGCAGAGGACATAAGCTTGTTGATAATTATGTCAAAATCTTGAAATTATTTACCTGATTTTTATTGCAGATGGAACTTTAAGCATCTTTTAGCACTAATATTGAGATTTGAAAATTACCAATTTTGAAATCAAGTTGTTTATGCAACTAGTTACTACAAACCACTAATATTGAGATTTGAAAATTACCAATTTTGAAATCAAGTTGTTTATGCAACTAGTTACTACAAACCGTATTGCTATACAATTAAAAATTGAGCTCTGATGTTTTTTTCCAAGATATTGGTATAGCTGGAGAATGATCGTAAATTTTTTTAACATAAAAAAATAAAATAAAATAAAATCTCCTCATATGAAAAGATAAAAAAAATGAGAAAATAATAATATAATACCAAAAGAAAAAAGAGAACTAACTATAATGGACAACTAAAGTCCCAGTAGACGGGGAAAAGATGAATGCGACAGAGGCCCTCAATATTAAGTGACTAAATTGCACATAAATACTCTATTGCTTCACCATTTTTTTACTTGATCATTCTAAGTTGTAAAAGTTAGACCATAAATATTCGTGAACCACCATTAGAATATGGTAGACATTGTTAGAAAAACCCAATATGACAAAAATACCCTCTATTGAAATTAATAAAAAGGTAGAGGGTAGACATAGACGTAAAAAATATAACAATAAATGTGGTCAATATAATTATAAAAATAACATGTGCTAATCATATTGGAATATTCCCATGTGAACCAGCAGAAGATACTAATGTGCTAGTTTTTTACGACTTCAAGGTTTTAGGGGGTGTTTGGTTCAATTTCTATAAATTATAGGAAACATTTTCCACCCAAAATATGATTTTCTTGTATTTCTTAAAAAAAATTATAGGAAAAGTTTTGAGAAGTCAAAAAGTATCAATTTTCTTGTGTTTTTTACTTTGCTTGTTTGGTTCAAAACAAGAAAATGACTCATAAATTTATAGAAAATTACAAGGTTTCCTATAATTTATAGAAATTGAACCAAACACCCCCTAAATTTATAAAAAAAATATCAACTTTATAGAAAATTGTCAATGTGGTGTCAGATTTCTGGGTGATTTCTGCCCATTTTGAGAGGAAATTGATTTCTGTAAATTTTGGTATTTTTTTGTACTTTACAGAAAATATTTTTGTAAATTTTATTTGAACCAAACACAATTTACGGAAATCTACAGAAAATTTATAATTACAGAATTGTCATTATAGACATTTTGAGAAAACTTTTCTATAAAATTGTGCAACTAAACACCGAAAGCCACGCGCAGAGCCAGGGCCGGCCCTAAGGTTTGGGTTGCCCTAGCCCCAGCCCGGCCCTGGGTCGGCCCTGAGTTGCCCCACGACGACCTTCCCTCCACGACGACCTCCCCTCCTTCGACTCCTCCCTCTTGAGTTGCCCCACGAGTCTACAAACTAATTACTTTGGCACTAATGACTATAATAATAATATGCATCTCTTTTTGAAATTTGGGATTGAAAGTCTCAAAAGTTACACTGAAAGAAAATAATAAGTTTACTTTAAGAATTGTATTACTCTTGTATTACTGGATATATATGGAGCTTCATCAATTCATAATTTCTCTTTTCATTACAAGAAAATATCCTTTTTTTTTAAGTACTACATAAGTTATCAGTGCTCATACTGAAAAGAAAATTACCAGCACAAAATAAATCCTAGAAGATTACCAACAACTAGTGGATGATTTCAGAAAAATAAAATCGACCCTTTTCTTCAACTTATATCCTTCGGCTAAAAGAAACGAAAAGAGACTATTTTGCTACAAAGCCAAAAAGATTATCCTTTTTCCTGAAAGTTGCATTTTTCTTGTGAATAGCAATGAACATTTGTTGGATATATCTTTAAAAAATAATAATAAGTATAATCAATTTAAGCTAGAAGGGAGAAAAAAAGAGAAAACTTACAAGAAGAACAAATAGAAATAAATCTAAGAACTACAAAGACAAATAGCTACACAAAATCGAACTAAAATACATAGAAATTTTTAAACTTATTTTTGATTCCATTTACTCGTTTTCTTTTCCTTATTTACATGAACCAAAAAAAGTCTACACTTGCCCAGAAAATTTCCCAGAGGGAAAAAAATATCATACAAAGCAGGAGAGGATTAAAAAAAACAAGCAGCAAAATAAAGAACTAACATTTACTTTTTTAATCTAATTTTCTAATTGTTCATCCCAAATACCCAACTCACAAACCTCCTAACCGAGCTTTTTCCCTCTTCATCCTCCTCCTCATCATCATCCCCATCATCACCATCATACCCACCATCATCATCACCACCACCACCATCATCACTACCGACATGCCCATACCCATCATCCCTCCTTTGACTCCTCCCCCTTTGGTTGCCCCTCCGGCCCTGGGTTGCTCAAGAAGTAAATCTGGAACCTCAAGATAATAATGTTGAACAACTCCCTGTTCCAGAAGAACAAACTCAACAACCTCAAGAACTAGTGCCATTAAGGAGATCCACGAGAGAAAGGAGAAATGCTATTCCGGATGATTATATTGTATTTCTCCAAGAACATGAGGAAAGTAGTGGAATGTTAGAAGATGATCCAATCAACTTCTCTCAGGCCATGAAAAGTTCTAACTCTCAACAGTGGATTGATGCCATGAATGAAGAGTACAAGTCTATGCAAGACAATAAGGTTTGGGAACTTGTCCCATTACCAGAAGGTGCAAAACCAATTGGTTGTAAATGGATTTTTAAAACCAAGCGGGATGCAAACGGTAATGTGGAGAGGTATAAGGCACGTCTTGTGGCTAAAGACTATACTCAAAAGGAAGGCATTGATTATACAGAGACTTTCTCTCCGGTTTCATCGAAAGACTCTTTCAGAATAATCATGGCACTTGTTGCTCATTATGATCTTGAGTTACATCAGATGGATGTTAAGACTGCATTTCTCAATGGAGACATTGATGAGATGATTTATATGGTGCAACCAGAAAACTTTGTGTCAGGAGACCCAAAGAATATGGTTTGCAAATTAAGGAAATCCATCTATGGACTCAAGCAAGCTCCTCGTCAATGGTATCATAAGTTTCAACAAATAGTTATCTCGTTCGGTTTTGAGATGAACATTGTTGATGACTGTGTATATCACAAGTTCAGTGGGAGTAAGTTTATTTTTCTGGTTCTGTATGTGGATGACATCTTGCTTGCCACTAATGATATAGGCATGTTGCACGAAACCAAGAGATTTCTATCAAAGAATTTTGAGATGAAAGATCTTGGGGACGCCTCTTTTATATTAGGGATCCAGATACATCGAGATCGCTCTCGGGGTATTCTTGGATTATCACAAAAGAGCTATATCGATAAGGTACTTAAAAGGTTTGGCATGCAAGATTGCAGACCAGGTGACACCCCTGTTGCTAAAGGAGACAAGTTTAGTCTCAATCAGTGCCCTAAAGGTAACCTTGAAATTCAGGAAATGCAGAAGATTCCTTATGCTTCGGCTGTAGGAAGTCTAATGTATGCTCAGGTATGTACGCGTCCGGATATTGCGTACATTGTTGGGATGTTAGGCAGATACTTAAGCAACCCTGGTATGGATCATTGGATAGCAGTCAAAAGGGTTATGAGGTATCTTCAGAAAACAAAAGATTACATGCTCACATACAGAAAATCAGAGAAATTAGAGGTCATTGGGTATTCGGACTCTGATTTTGCTGGATGCCAAGATAGCAGGAAGTCTACATCAGGCTACATTTATATGTTAGCAGGAGGAGCTATATCATGGAAAAGTGTCAAACAAACACTAGTAGCTTCCTCCACTATGGCAGCAGAATTTGTAGCTTGCTATGAGGCATCCAATCAGGGAATATGGCTGCGAAATTTTGTCACGGGACTGCGCATTTTGGAAAATGTTGAAAGACCACTAAGGTTATATTGTGACAATAAATCTGCAGTAATGTATTCCAATAACAACAGGAGCTCAACTAAGTCAAAACATATTGACATTAAGTTCCTGGTTGTGAAAGAAAGGGTACAGAGTGGACAGATATCCATAGAGCACATTGGGACAAACTCCATGATAGCTGATCCTCTTACTAAGGGATTACCACCTAAGGTCTTTCATGAGCATACTGCTCATATGGGTGTGGTATTATTTGAGGATATTATGTTTTAGTGGGAGTTTGTATTTGTGGTGCTTTATGTTTGTTTGTATTGTCTGATCAGAATAAAGTTTTCAGTTAAGACACTCTGTTACATTATGTTTGGTTTTGACCTCACTAAGGAGGACCAGTTGAAAATAGACATGTACTGATCACATTGCATGTAATTTTCATGCTGCACATCCATGATTGATCTATGTCATTTGATTGTATTGGTAAATGTGACCATTGATGGGTCGAGTCACGATAAATGTGACGAAGGCCGCTTTGATCCTATATTGATATAGTCAATGGACGAGATTGTTCGGAAATACCTTTTCAGTGATAGCAATTTTTGAGCTCATAAGGTTATACACAATTTAAGGAATCATATGGTGCCCAAGTGGGAGATTGTTGGATTTAATCTAATAAATCTATTTGTGGGCACATATGATTAATCAATGTGTATTGCTATCTTTCAGGATAACCCACTAAAGTGATCAATTAAGTTGGGTTAATTTGGTATTTAAATAAGTCATGTGGTTATATGTGCAGATACCAGGTTGTAATTGTGATTTATTGAGGGGCTAAATTACAAAAGTACAACATCTATAAATAAGGGGTTATGGTCCCTAACCTAGGGTTACATTCTCTAATTCTCTTCACCCCCATCTAAGAGAGAAATTTGGATTTGGAGAAACCCTAAGGTTAGAAGATTAAAACCCATCTCAAGATCAAGCAATGGATTCAGGTATAAGCTTCCGCTCTTTAGATTTTTGTTAATCTCTTTGAATTAATCATGGCTATATGATTTTAGATCTCAAGTTTTATGATGTAGATCTAACAGCCCCAGCCCCGGGGCTTGGTGGGCTTACCCCAGGGCCGGCCCTGCGCAGAGCCACGTTGAGAGAGTGCTTAGAGCATGTAATGAAGCATGCAGTTGAAGACACTGAAGCGTGCGTACGCGGTGAGCGCATGAAAAATTAAATTGGGTTTACGTCATATATAGAACAAATTTTTTAAACAGACCCATTCCAACTTTTTATTTTCAAAACCGACTCTTTTTTTTTTATTTACCAAAACCGACCCGATTTTGTGATTAGCAGACTAATCACCTTCCTAAATAGTCGGGGTTGGCAACCCCGACTATTTAGGACATTAATTTTTAAGGTTTAATGCTTCTAATTAGGGTTTAACACCGTCCTAAATAGTCGGGGTTGCCAACCCCGACTATTTAGGAAGGTGATTAATCTGCTAATCATAAAATCGGGTCGGTTTTGGTAAATAAAAAAAAAAGAGTCGGTTTTGAAAATTAAAAATTGAAATAGGTCTGTTTAAAAAATTTGTTCTCATATATATGCCTTGTCTTGTCTAGTTAATGAATGAACCATTTGTTGTTTTCGTATTTCAAAGCTCAAGGATGTCAACAGAGGCTTAGCGTGGACGCTAATTAATTTGTCTAATGGATGGATGCTATGGAAATCTGGAACTTTTCCATGCTGTGCTCTTCATTCCTGAGCACTTCTCTGAATAACTCTTCTCAAACATTAATACAAGCAATATTAATTCTTTCAGCACTTCTCTGAATAACAGTAAAATTTTCCCCCAGGCTACTGAATGAAGTTTTGTTATTTTGAAGGGTTTTTTTGTTCTCTAGAAACCACCTTAAAAAAATAAGGTAATTATAAAGAAACCACCTTTCATTCTCGATTTAAACATAAACCACTTTTAAAGTTGGTTTTTATTGCAATCAACCACCACCCAGCCAAATTCTTCACTTGAAGCCCAAAATTACCCTTAAAAAAGCGCATTAGATGTATACGACTCATTTTTTTAGTGTTTAGGTTCTATTAGGATACAACTCGCGTATCTTGAACTTGAATTTTTTTAAAGCTTATTTTTGGGTTTTTAGTGAAAATTTGATTAGGAGGTGGTTGCTGGCAACAAAAACCCAACTTTAAAAGTGGTTTATGCACAAATTGAAAATGAAAGACGGTTTCTGGATAATTACCCTATTGTTAAGGTGGTTTCTAGGAAGAAAAACCCCCCTATATTTTGAGACATGTTAGGCCGACTAAGTGGTTTGCCTTTTTGTTATCTTGAAAACAATATTCGGTTGTATGCCAACATATCACAGATGGTTTGTCGAGAAGACCCAACATTTATTTTAAACATATCACAGATGAATATCAAGCCAAATGATATCAAAATCTATTCGGTTGTATGCCTTTACGTATTATCAAAATGTTCAGGTACGTACTTGTTGTTTATTGGGATTAATTCTATTGAAAACCAAGAACTAACAGAGGGATATTTGGCGAGATATTTTGGATATTCGTATTGTTCTATTACTAGTTGTTTGTGGTTAGGCTTTGGCTTTTGGACTATGGCTGTTATTGTTCAATATTTAACTGACATTAAATATTGAGATTTTGACTTAGCTTATCCACTTTTGTAATCAAGTTGTTATTATTATTATTACTAATTTTTTACATGCAGCTAGTTAACCTATTGTATGTGTTGCTTTCTTTATTATCTCACGCCATGAGTAATTTCTTATGAGTAATTCAATTACAAGGCTTTCCAACTTTTCAAAAAAAAAAAAAGGAAAAAGAAAATACAAGGCTTTCCAAAAGTATATCTCTGTGTGACCTTATTTTGAGGACTCTCTTATTATGAAAATTACCCCGTTTTTACCCTGCTGGGTCTGGGCCTCACAGTTCGTGGATCTGACCCGGCCCAACAAAGCTCAAATCCCGACAAAACAATGACGAACCCCATCGTTTCTCTCTCTCTCCTCCATCAATTATTCCCTTCTTGCCATTCCCGCCCTCGATGCTCTTGAAAGTACAGTAGCTCTGTTTTCCCTTTCTCTATTTTGCTATTATTGATATCAGCTCAATCTTTTCTAGGGTTTCCTCAATTTCCAAGATCAAGTAGTCAACTTCTCTGGGATTTCTTGTGCGGAAAAGCCTCTGCCCTTTCTCCTCGCTTTCCAGGTACAATCCCCCTCCTCTATTTTTTTTTTCAAAAATTTCCCCTCTGGTTTTTGATCGAATTGAAGGGAAATACCCGAATTTGCTGAAAATTTTGTCCGATCTTATGAGTCCTTGCTCATTATTCGGTGTATTTTGATGTTTTCAAATATTATTCATAGTTGTTAAAATTATTGTGGATGATGTGTAGTTAGTCTGAAGAAAAGAAGGAAAGATATGAAAGATCGAACCTTTTATGCTACATTTATCCTTTTTCTCTCATTATCAACTCAGATATTTCTAGGGTTTGTCTAATTTTTGAGAGATCGTGTCAAGTTTTAGGGTTCTTACTGAGGACACCACACCCATGGCAAACAGGACAGATTCTGTCACACCAGGGTATGACAGACACCACACCCATGGCAGACAGGACAGATTCTGCCACACCCATGACAGACACCACACCAGAGTGTGGTGGAGTCTGTTTTGTTTATTCTTTACGTTTTTCGCAATTCCTTCGCCGTTTTCACAATTCTCCACCTCGGCGAAGTGTTCTCAACACCGAGCCGACACCAACATGAGCACCAATGCGTTGTCTCTCTAAACTCGGCTGCACCAATGTGGTTGTCTACGTACCCCCTCTCATAAGGGATTAAGTCGCCCGTAGTTCATCCAAATGGCCGTCAACGGCCTCAACAATCATGAATATGCAACAAGTTTCGACAATGATCAAACTTGTTACTCGGAACCACCTTAGTGAGCATATCCGACAGATTATCCTTCGAGTGGACTTTCACAATCTCCACATCGCCATCTTCAAGAACATCCCGAACGAAGTGATAACGAATGTCAATTTGCTTCGTCCTCGCATGAAAAACCTGATTCTTCGCCAAATAGATAGCACTCATGCTATCACAATGAATGGTGATGAACCGCTGTGATATATCAAGTTCCTCCAAAAATCCTCAAAGCCAAATAGTCTCTTTCACAGCCTCCGTAACCGCCATATACTCTGCCTCCATCGTAAACAAAGCCACCGTAGACTGTAAGGTGCATCTCCAACATACCGGCGTACGGGTCAAAGTAAACACTTACCCCGTAGTAGACCAACGCTTATCCAAATCCCCGGCATAATCCGAATCCACCTATCCAATGCACAACTACCCACCTGTAGTGTCCCGCTCATAAATCAAACCAACATTGAGCGTACCTCAAATGTACCTCAAAATCTATCCCACGGCGTCCCAATGACCCACTCCTGGATCGTGCATGTATCTCGAAACCATGCTCACCGCCTGTAACAAATCCGACCTCGTACATACCATCGCATACATCAAGCTCCCAACCGTACTTGCATATGGAGTCTTCGACATCAACTCTCGATCTTCAACTGACTTAGGTGAAAGACCAGCTGAAATCTTCAAATGGGCTCCTAATGGTACAATAACTGGCTTCGTATTCATGCTAACATGAAATCGCTGTAGTACCTTCTTCAAATAAGTCACCCATATCAAACAAATTCTGCCATTCTTCTTGTCTCTACCGATCTCCATTCCCAAAATGCGTTTGGCCTCACCCAAGTCCTTCATCTCTAACTCATTTGAAAGCTGAACCTTTAACTCATCTATAGTCGACCTGGAAGTAGAGGCAACCAACATGTCATCGACATAAAGTAACAAATAGATGTACGCACATCCTCTCAACTTGTGAAAATACACGCAAGGATCAAACTGGCCCCGAGTGTACGAATGACCAAGCATAAAACCATCAAATCGCCTATACCACTGTTGAGGAGACTGCTTCAAACCGTATAGCGATTTTTTTAACATGCAAACCAACTTATCTTTTCCTGCAGCTCGGAACCCTAATGCCTGAGTCATATATATTTCTTCATCAAGATCACCATAAAGAAATATCGTCTTCACATCCAACTGATCTAACTCTAATCCATACCGTGCCACCAAAGCTAACAGAATCCGAATCGAAGAATGCTTCACCACCGGAGAGAAAACCTCATTGTAATCAATACATTCCTCCTGTGCATAGCCCTTCGCAATCAACCTAGCCTTGAACCTCACTGGAGTGTCCTCAACGCCCTCCTTCTTCGTGTATACCCACTTGCATCCAATCGCTTTTTGTCCCTTTGGAAGCTCAACAAGCTCCCATATATCGTTCTTATAAAGAGACTCCATCTCCTCCTGCATAGCTATCTGCCACGAATCAGCCTCCGAACTCTGCTCGACCTCTCTGAAAGTAGTAGGTATCATCTCATCGATACTCTCCACCGGAAGTGCATATGCAATTATGTCGGCATACCGTGCTGGCACCCGTATGTCTCTCCTCTGTCCCCGAACCGTAATAGAATCCTGAACCCGAGTCGTTGGTCCCTGATCCTGCACATGAGTACCCGTATCCTCCGCATCACCGTTGTGCTCGCCTAGTGTCACCTCAGTCGGCACTCTAATGGATACTGCACCTTCTGGACACTGTGGAGCTGCATCAATCTCCACCACCTGCGATATCTTTTTTGTCGGGTCACTCTCTACCTGATGAGAACTGGGAAGCTTCAAGATAGAAGCCTCATCGAATATGACGTCCCTACTCAGCACAATCTTCTTATCAACTGCTGGGAAGCTTCAAGATAGAAGCCTCATCGAATATGACGTCCCTACTCAGCACAATCTTCTTATCAACTGGATCCCAAAGCTTGTATCCCTTGACACCACTTCTTATCAACTGGATCCCAAAGCTTGTATCCCTTGACACCACGCTTGAATCTTACAAATATGGCCTTCTTAGCTCGAGGTTCCAACTTATCAGTTCTAACATGATAATATACAGGGCAACCAAATACCTTAAGTTGGTCATAGTCATGTGTTGTCTCTCCCGACCACATCTCCATAGGGGTCTTTCCCTCAATCGCAGATGAAGGCAGCCTATTAATGAGGTGGCTCGCATATGAAAGTACCTCAGCCCAAAAGATATTCTCCAAACCACTATGCGCTAATAAACATCGAATCTTCTCCAGCAAAGACCGATTTAACCTCTCCGCCACCCCATTTTGCTGCAGTGTATGACTAACTGTGAAGTGCATGTCTATGCCCTCGTCTCGACATAGTTGCTGAAAGGGGTCTGAAGTATACTCACCACCGTTGTCGGATCGTAACGTCTTGATTTTTCTCCCAGTCTGCAGTTCCAATCTCTTCTTCCACTCCACAAATATATCTAGGACTTCACTCTTCTTCGTCATGATGTACACCCAACAACGTCTAGAATAGTCATCAATGAACGTGACGAACCAATGTCGACCACCAAGTGATGTAGTCTTGGTGAGACCCCAAACATCTATGTGTACGTAGTCCAAGATGCCCCTCGTCCTATGAATGGCCGTCTCGAACTTCACCTTCGTCTTCTTGCCAAGAACACAGTACTCACAGAATTCCACTTTACCACTCTTGGCTCTCTTCAATAACCCCTACTTGCACAAAACCTGCAGTGACTTCTCTCCTATGTGTCCTAACCTGTAATGCCAAAACCTACTCATGTCCGTCTCTGAAGTAGCCGAAGCAACCTGACTAATCTCGGTGCTCCCCTTCAGATAGTATAAATTTTGACTGCGGACTCCCTTCATCACCACCAAAGACCCCTTAGTAACCTTCGCTATAGCATCCTCAAAGGTCACCTTGAATCCCTTAGCCTCTAAAGCTCCAACTGAGATAAGATTCTTCTTTAGTTGAGGAACGAATCTCACCTCCTTCAACTCACGACTACTCCATCGTGCATCCGAATCCTCACAGTACCTATCCTACAAATGTCACAGGATTAATCATTTCCCATGATAACAACACCCCCGTCGACTTTCTCAAATGATGCAAACCAGTCTCGCCTAGGGGTCACATGATAAGTAGCGTCTGAATCAAGCATCCAATCTGATGCATCCACATGATTCACCTCCGGAGTAATCAGTAGAGAAAAGCACGAGTCATCGGAATCATCGCCTTTCGCAACGTTCACCTCATTGGCCTTCGGGCCCTTTTTCTTGCCATTCTCTTTCTCCTTGAGCTTCGGACAGTCTCTCTTCCAATGTCCCTGCTCCTTACAGAATACACATTGGTTCTTTACTAATTGGTGGCGACTTCTTGACTTTGACCTCCCTCTATTTCCACCTTTCCGATATGAGCTTTTACCTCTCGTCGACAAGGCCTCTCCTAAAGTACTAGCGCAGGAAGTCTCATTATCCTTCCTCCTCAAATCGTAGTTCGTCAATACGTTAGTCACTTCACTATAAGTGATAGAAGATCTCCCGTTCAGCAAAGTAAGCACGAATGTATCATACTCCTCATCCGGTAAGGAGCCCAAAAGAATAATAGCCTTGTACTCATCCGTGATCTTTTCATCCACGTTCGTCAAGTCCGACAACAACTTAGTGTAGTTGTTCACATGAGCCGCAAACGAGGTGCCTCGGGACATCTGAAATCTGAATAACCTACGTAGCAAATGCAACCTGTTCTCAACACTCTTCGTAAGATATTTATTGTTGAGAATTTTCCACATCTTCATCGCAGACGTCACCCCAATCATATCATATTTTAGGTCCTGTTTCAAACAGGACCTGATCACCCCACAATCGTTCCTATTCATCTTTTCCCATACCACCTCTTCATATTTAGGTGGCCTCACATCGACTATGATGGTCTCCTCTAAATTTTGAGCATTGAGCGCATCCTGTACGTCGCTCATCCACAAACCAAAATTGATTTTGCCGTCATATTTCACTACACTAATCTTAGTGTTCTGAAAACCCACTTGAACTGTACCCGTCATCTTGCTGTTTTCACCAACTTCTTCAACTAATCTTAGTGTTCTGAAAACCCACTTGAACTGTACCCGTCATCTTGCTGTTTTCACCAACTTCTTCATCCATAATCACAAACTCTAAATTGTAAAAAAAGATTCAAACTTTATAGAATTTAGAAGTTACCCAACTGAAGCCTAGATTGGATTCCAAATAGAACTCCTAACCA